GAAACTCTCTCTCTCTTTCTCTCTCTCTCTCTCTCTCTCTCTCTCTCTCTCTCTCTCTCTCTAACAAACACAAACACACTCAGATAGATCTACATACTCACACACTCAAATGACATTGCACTTATACTGCCGTGCTTTGGGTAATGTTTCTCATACTGACCAGTTTCATTAAGCTCTTACTTGTCAAATGTTTTTGTTATGTGAATCGCATGCAGCCCACTATTTAATATTTACTCGTCTCGCTTTTTTCGTTGTCAGATAAATAGAGATCAGTTTGTTAGTGTGGAACAGAACATGTTTCTGCCATTCCAGTTTCCTGTATAGTGCTCAGTCCTTCAGGCCAAAATGCTAATTTTGTCCAGCAGATTGTTTTTTGTTATTTCAAAACTTTTGACAGTTGAATCCACATTTAGTTTGAATAAGTTATTTCCTCCTTGCTCTCTTTTTATATTATTCTCATCTATTTTTCCAAATTTCCCATGATCATGATATCTTTTCCCAATAGCTGATCTCTTTTGTGTACCTGTTATCTCCTATATTTCAAGTATTTGATTCAAGGGGAGAAAGACTGGGTGGGTACTCCGATGGGGTCTGTTCTTCCTACCGTACTTCTTTTCAGCTATTGTGCTATAATAGAGAATTTGTTCTTTGACAATTGTAGTTGTTTTCCTGTTGATTTTAAGTAACTCAGTACTATTTATCAAAGATACAAGGAATGTTAGGAATTTGACAGTTAATAATAATGTGTATTGCTTATATTGCAAAAATATTTGGTCAATATCTTTCTAGTTTACTTTCCCCTCTGCGAATATATTCTTATGGGCTTATTTCCACACTTGTTTTATATAGTACATTTCTGATTTTTTGCTATTTCAGGAAAAAGAGAGCGGCAACCGGGATGAGTTGTGAGTGCTCAAGTCTTTAGATCAAACCTTGTGGTTGTGTCTAGGTAATGCTGATAGAACTGGCTGTCTACTCATCGACAACAACGCAAGGCACACAAAAAAGAGGATATGGGTGCACAGATGTCGTGACCTAATCAACAGCAGCACCACCCTCAGCAACCACAAACAGACCACCAGACTGCCACAGAAGCAGGAGATGGGTGTACTTACCATGGCTGTTGCAAGGAAAATGCATCTCAAGGGTTGTTTTTTTTTTACTCGTCATGTAAATAAGCAACTTATTCGTACAACATTGATGGTAGTCATGACTGTGTCAACATCAACAGTCAAATAGAGATACCAATGACTTACCAGAATTTCAGTTTATTTATTTATGACATTTAGAGAACAGGGAACTCAATAGTTTTGATCTCAGGATAAGTCAACAAGTGATAGCATCATTGGCATCATGATCGTTCCAGCAGAAGAGAAAACATATGTATTCACTTGGAGTATTGGTGCATCTTTTTTCTTGTTTCAGAAGTTCATACAGTTATCCCTTCTGGCTGTCTGATTAAATCATGAATGATTGCATTATCACCTACCTGCGATAGGGGTTTTGTGTGCACAGGTTTATCAAGAATTAATGAGCCTGTTATAATGGTGTAAAGGATGTGAAGGTGCAGGAAACACTCTGAGGAAAAGTTCATGTTTGTGTTTCCATTTATGTGAAGTAGACATGGAGTACATTGAAAGGCTCACACTCTCAATTTTGTTGTCTTAGATGTTTGTTAAAGTTCTTGAGGTGAATACTACCCAAAATTCCAAGGGTTGTCTTTCAGCCAGTATCTCCTATATGATATACTGAAAACTTCTAAATTTGCCATAGATTTTATGTTAGAATCCATACAAACTGAACAAAATTTTTTTGTTGCCACTGTTAAAGCACAGCTACCGAAGGGGGAGGGGGGGGGAGGGAGGTGGTTAACTTTTTGCTGGATCATTTGAAATAGATAGTAGATAGGAATGTTTCAGAATTGGTCTCTTTTGTTGCATTAAAAAAACTAAACTAGTATTAGGACATTAGCATTAACTTTAACGAAAGTAGTCTTTTTCATGAGCTGTGCTCATTCATGTGCCTGTCTTCTTTGGCCCTTATAAATTATTACTATTCATTACACTAGGGAGGAAATTTGGTGTGCAACTTTTGCAATTTTTTAAACCATTTTCTACAGATTTCAGTTTTCAGTGAAACTGAAGTTGTTTTTTTTCCATGCTGTATATAGCATTTTCTCTGTAACCTGCAATGCAACAATTATTATTTTGGACAATTTGTATGATTGTTCAAGCACCGGTAATTTCTCAAGATTTCCTGTTGATCGTTTTGTCTGTTTGTCGCTTCCAATGTCAGGAGACATGTTTTATTGTATGATGGATAAGAAGAACAGTTATACTGTGATAATTTTTCTTTCATATACTCCCAGTATTAGAGAATTTTCTGACATGTCCAAGTCTTTGGGCCATAGCACCTTGCTGTTGAGCAGCTGTTTATTTCTGCTCTCAGTCCAAATGCTAATGAAATTATTCCATTTATCATTGATTGTTTCAATAGGCCAAATATGTCAATGCTTGTTTTGAAAGTTTGACACCTATGATTCATAATGTGGATGACCATGGTTGGACTTGGATTGTCAGAGAGTTTTCAAGGCTATGTACTTACTATATTTAAATCTGTCAGAAATAAGTATGGAAATTGGGGATCAAGTCTTTAAAAATTTGTGTTAAAAAATAACTTTAAAACATTAGAGGGATGTTAAGCCCATATGAAGCTATATTTGTAATTCCATGTTGTGGGATGAGCTGAACCTAATGTTATGTACCTGGTTCAAAGTTGTCAACACCTTTTTGGCTGAACTTGAAGATGATAATAATCCTTTGGACTTTTATGTTTCACGTTCATACTCAACCTTTTTATGATATGTGTCACAATAAGTTGGAATCAGGCGCTCGCTAATTTTTTAACTTTTCGAGTTATTAGTATTATATTAAAGCTTGTTCACTTGTCTTTCTTTTGATGGAAAAAAATATCCTTCTATGTTGAATAGAAGTTGAGATATTTGCTATTGAAGGCGGTTGAGGTCCCCTGGTGTCAGAGTCAAATTAATGAGAAAAAAGGCGGCCGGATTTGGGTAATTTCGAAAGCTTGGGTATAAGCTGCAAATTTATAATTTTTTGTGCCCGTCATCAACATTTTTCAGTATAATACACACAGAAATGTGTGTTTTGAATAGACGTAAAAGATTTTGAGCCAAAAATATAACATTAAAATTGGCCAATGGGAGGAAAAATGTCATTTGCTTCATTTTCAGTATTTGACAAGTGCCTGATTTCGCCATGATGCGACATATAAGCCTACTGTTTACAAGCATATCTCTCGTCTATATCTGTTCAGAATGAGACTTGTGCCTGTAGAAATGTTTTCAACGTTCTATGTATTTATTTTTTCATTTGGTGACAAGAAGTATTAAAATTCATTATCAAAAGAATGAGAATTTTTTTGGGATGTCCTTACCAAGTGGTACAGATTTAGACGTAGACTAAAAAGTTGCAATTTGAATATCTGACTTTGATGGGTAAGGTGATTTGTTCATTAAAAAAAGATGTTTTTACTATATATTCTAGTGCTCATCATTGTAAATGAGTTCTGCTCAAGTATTGGCAGACACAGAATGTGTAAATAGTATTGATAAGTGTACAATGCTGTATGTTACCCTAGGGGACTCAGATTGCTAACTTTTCATTGTCCTGAACTTACTTTCTTCTTCTTCTTCTTCTTCCTTGTTCTCATTGACCCTGAACTTACTTGTCACCTGATGTATTGTGATAGTGTGTTACCATCCAAAGGGATATGCAACTGTGAATAAATAAGCCTTAATTTCACTTTCTTTTTAATATGAATTTGGTCTTTATGTCTGGTACAGTAATCAGTTTTAGTGTAATAGATGCAGTGCCATTTTTCTACTTTTTGTCTTGTTCACAATGGAATTGTTTTATAATCTTGTTCATGTTTAGAATGTTTATTTTGTTATATGTAAAGTTTGTAAATGAGGGATTTGTTGTTGCAGCATAAAGAGGTAACTGTTGATTGATCATTTATTCATTTTCTTTGATCGGTAGGGACCAAAATTTGTTTATTGACATGGTATTTCTTTGTGCGGAGAAGCTTTTATCATGTCATCTCTGCGAGGGATTTTATCTTGCTTACAGTGATATCTGCAAACTAGTCCATTTCTTTGGGGGGTTTTCTATCCTCACCTATTATGTAACCATCTTTCTTACGCATTAGCATACACACACACGCACATGCACACGCACATGCACACACGAACACACACACGCACACACACATGCACACGCACATGCACACACGAACACACACACGCATGCACACACACACACACACCCGCACGCATGCACACACACACACACACCCGCACGCACGCACACGTATACACACACACACACACACACACACATATCCACACACACTCATAACTCTTTCATGAAAACATAGTTTAATTATATGTCTTTTCATCAGTAGACATATACACACAAATGTGCTCACACACATGCATATATATACCCACATACAAAGAGTATGCGCTCATATGGTCATATCTTGCTTTTGTGCTTATTTTGTAGTTGCACTTCTTGTTCAAACTTATAGAAAAACCAATAGTATGCTCGTCACATTATTCTAAATAAAATAGTTTTCATTGCTCATTGTTTTCTTAAATCACGTTAAACAAATTTAAAGCTTTAATAACCACACGAGTACATATAATGTAAATTTGATGTTTACTAGGTTTAAAGTTACCTAAGAAGAACAAGAGCTCAAGAATAGGCTTCTAGAAACCAGTCAGAGGATATTGTGTCTTATTATTAATCCGCCAGTAAACTGTTTAAATGTACTAAGCCCAGAAATTAAAATTTCTTGTTAGAGAGAAAAAACTGTTTCTTTTTTTAAACAATTGTGTGACATCGTGTTGAAATCAGGCTCTCGTCAAAATAATGAAATTAATTATTTTTATCAATTTTCTGTTATTTGTCTCAACACTTATATGTACTTGTAAAACACATTAGGCCTACCTTTAGGATTTTTATGAAAATCATTGATTAAAAGCACCAAAAATGTAAATTTTCAGTTTTAAAAAACTGTCAAGCTTGGAAGTCAATCAACTTTGGCGGCCATTTTCTCGCTAATTTTACCACTGAAACCAGGCAACCCTCACCTCCTTTAATTGCAATATCTCGACTTCTATTCAAGATAGATGTTCATTTTTTTCAGCTCTTTAATTTATACTCTTTTGCATTCTAAACTATCAGAGGTTTGTGATAAACAATATGCATATTTCTATCTTCCAGAGCTGCCTCATTATCATAGATTAGCTTTTACATTTGAAACTTCCATTTAATGGGACTTTTTTTCTACAATGATTAGTGTGAAGGTGGGAACGTTTCTTAATATGTGTATATGTATGGGGTCAATTAATTAGGGTAAAAAGAAATTGTAAAGTAGGCTACGTATAGCCTACTTTTGAGTAGTGTCATTGGCTATACATATGCAATTGTATATTATTATTATTATTATTATTATTATTATTATTATTATTGTTATTATTAATTTGTTTTTGGTTATTGTTGGTATTTTTATTACATTTGTTTATTATAAATTAGTACTATTATTTCATTTTGATTATTATCATTAAAATTATTGTTTTATTGTCATCATCATCATAAGTCACTATAGATTATTTTTAGATGTGATTTTTACGCATTTTAAGATGTCTTTGGGTGAAGCAGGTGCTTTATGATTTTGAATGATAATGTCAACAATGCTCTATGGCCAGTATACTAATAAGGATTAGTACTGATAATAATTTCACTTTCCTTGAAAAAAAAAACTACTGCTGATGGGTGAGATTGAGATGGTTCATGAAAGAGAAAGAGCGACAGAAAGAGAGAGAGAGAGAGAGA